TGTTGAGAAGATTATATGCATAGGTTTAGAACAAAACTATCAAAAATTGTTAGTTTTTCAGAGTGCTCGTTTGAAAAACCGACTACCAGAAAAAAGATCATATGACGTTGATCTTCACTATTGCACCTCCCCCCCACTTTTTTTCTTTCGCCACATCCCTAGATATTACTTTTAATTATCGCATAATTGTTTTCGAGAAAGTAGTGTTCGATGTTGGGGACTTAGAAATTTTCAAAATACGAGATAATTAATACGTGACGTACAGAGGAAACTCTATCGTTTCTCCTATTAGATAATTAATCGTCACGTGATATCCTTCGTAGGGAATATATACTATAGTGCTTGATATAATGAAAGCTATCGCAGAATGTATGATAGGATAATGAGTCAGCTGATACGATAATGTGAATAATATACTGTAGAAAATAAACGTAGGTGAATAAAATTCGAAACATATTTTTGTTGTTAAAGGAGAAAACACTAGATTCTTTCACTGAGATATTTCCGGTTTAAATTAATTAGCTACGTAGCTTATGTCATAGCTAAAAGCTAACCGGTTCCAGAAATGTTTCACTCAGTCGGCTTCGAATCTTTGCAGTGCGCAGGTGGCATCTAGTTTTACTTCCTGCACGGTTTAGTTTGATTGAAATAAATCATGGTAATGAGCCATATTCATTTCCTGACGAGAGCGTGTAATACTGGCCCATAAATACGCTGTAAGCATGTGCGTACGTATACATAACGCCGTGAACATAACACATCAACTTTTTTCTCTACCATTGTATAATAGAAAGCTTATGGGTGAACGGTAAAAATGATATTGCATTCTGCGTATACATACTAAATATCACTTATTAATGTTAATGACGATCGTTAATTTATATAGTCCTTGAATAGGGAGAAAGTATATGCGCAATAATCGTTTGGAAAAGAGTTTTGCTGCAAATTTTGATAATCAATTTTTTTCAATAAGTGATTTCTTGTATCGACAATTGAAAATCTCATGTGATATTCATTTACAATATCCAAGAGTTTTTATGTATATCAATTCTAGGCTGTTTGAATTTATCCCGACCGACTACAAGTGCAAACAGTCAACGTGCAAACACTCAACAAAAACAAAATGAACGTGTATATTTCAGCAGTGATGTAAACAGTGGCGATCCTTATACAAGAAAAAGTGGAAGAAAATCAGCTGCTAATATCAACAAACGCTCTGTTCCTATTCGTGGACAATTAAAAATTGATCTGTATAATTTTGATCATTATGATTTTCAAGACAGCAAATATGTATTGACAAGTCCACGTTCTCTAGAAGCATGTTGCAGATTGAACATCAAAGTAATACGACGTTACGTTCATTCATCTCTATTTTTGTAATTTGAACGCTTGTTCTATTTCTGTTTTTAGCCTGTTACATTGTTACCTAAGCGTTTGGCAGACGTGCAGGATGATATTGGATCTGAGAAAGTGCGCTTATCTACACTCGCCGATGTACGAGACGAAATGGAAATTGACAGACTTGGTAAAAATAGAAGACATGCCGCGTTTATTTTGAATTTTCATTTTGTGTTTTTACAGCAAAACTTCAACGTTGTCGTGAAGAACGAGAAAAAATCATAAAAGAAGAAACACATGATTCGTCTGATATAAAAGATGTGACCGTTGGTAAGACAAAGCCATTTATTAAATTACAAATACTCTTATAGTCTTACTACTTTTATCTATAGAACCATCGATAGTTAACCAAGGCAATCCTGTACGGTGTGTATCCAATAGATCCATATAAATAAACTATCGGTCCTAGCCAGATTTTATTTTCTTTAGGTTTCCACAAACAAAGTTTACGCCTTCGAGTGCACTTATTTCCGGTATTTCACAACCGACAACAGTTCACTCGTCATCAATGAGACCTTATTCAGCTACAAATGATACAAAAGGCACAAATCTTTCAGTGAAATTTGCTGATAATTTATATCCTCGGCGATCAGCAACAAAAAATGATAACATCATTGCTAATTCAATTTTAAAGTCATCCTTAACAAAATGGCCAACTGAACCATCAAATATTGATGATTATTTTACGTATGATGAATATGAAAATATTAACGATAAAACAGGAAACTTGTCCAGATCGTCAAGTTTCGTTCACGATATGAGAAAAATGGTATGCACCAAGATCAAATGATTACTCAATACCATGTCTGGTATCATATGTTCTAGAGCAAAAGTTTACAAAATATAAACATGTCAGAAAATATGTCGAAACAAACGAAAAATGAAAAATACATGTATGTTTTCATTAGTGAGAAAATTTCATAAGAACTGTTTTTTCTTTGTTGAATTTAGGAATGGACTAGAACGTGTGAAAGACATGTTGGAAAGACGAGTGACACAAAGCGGTAGTGATCCTACTGAAACCGAAACTATAGTAGATAAAAAATATTATGAACTTCTTCTTGGACAGTAAGTATTGATATTTTTGCACTCTTTTTAACATGAAACACGTAAAGATCCTAAAAACACTTGTCTTGATGACAATCTATGTCCTGAATTCCACAAGGTATATTTTTATTTAATTGATTTTTAATATGTTTAGTTATGATCATGAAATAAAGATTCAACGAGCGTTGGAGAATGCTAGACGAAACGAAAAAGAAAAAGAAAAAGAACGTTACGAAACTTTACTGCGTGATTTTTTGGTAAAGTGAAATACTTTTTTTACAAATTAAATGATGAGTGTATTCTCTTTCCAAGACCTTATCAAAAAGCTCTGATATGAAACAATGTATACCTCTTTTCGGATATAGGCATTCCTTCAATATACGTGTAATGAAAAGCGTATTCGTTAGCGGGAGTTTTCGAATCTTATCAGTCTGACTCAAAAACCATTTTTGCGTTGTCTTATTTTTGAAAAAAGAATTTATTTTATACAAAACTCGAAACTGAATTTAACTTTTGCCTGAATTGATTACAGAAAATAGGAGAAAATAATTTAATCCACAGTGGTATAATTTTCTTGTTTTTCCTCTATGCCATTATAGGAACAAACATTGGCTGACGAACGTAGAGAAAAAGAACGGCGTAGGAAGACACAACATTTACATCAATCGCGGCAGTTATACGAAACTTTACAGCATAAAAATTATGAACAGTAAGTTACTCACTCATAATAAACACTGTAATAAGATTAGTTTGTTTACTCTAGAAATATCAATGAACAGCAAATGAGAAGATATGAATTACTGAATTCAATAAAGAGGAAAAATAGAAAAACTCAATCATTTTTAAAAGAAAAACAGGACACCGTAAATTTGGTAAATTCGACTGAGTTTTGTTTTCTAAAAATTCACAAAAATTATCTTCATATATTGTTCTTTTAGTCTCGCTCGTTGGCAAAATCATCTCAAGATATCAGAGAACTGTTACATCAGAGCGGGCAAACATTTGATCAAATGGCAAAAAAAGCTGAATTAACAAGTAGTATACTTATCACAAAACCAAAAACAATTCCAATTACTCGAAAACATTTACAAACATCAGTAATACAAACATAAACAGATTTATATTGCTGAAAGCGTGTTTTGGTAGCCTGGCACTTTTCTATTAATTCGTTTTAATGCCGCTAATGAAAGTAATTTTATATACATTATATTTGCTAGTTCTTATTTTATCTGTATCTGCTTTGCGCTGTTCGTAAAGTGAAACTTTCAGTTTTTTAAACTTGTGTACTATTAGATTAATACTTATATCTACTCAACTAATATAGACTTTTTACGATGATTTTTATGTGAAAACCATTTTTTAAAATATACGAAAATAACAGCACCGCCGTACTATACTGTGATTAGGGCAAGATATCAGGATATTTAAAGCTAAGCATAATATAAAGTAAACCAGTGGAAGACTTCGATCGATATTTGTGATATAATGCATTGCAGGGCTTGAATAGATAGAGATAATATACCTTGATTTGCTTTAATTTTAAAGAAGCTTGAATGAAGAAAAAGTAGAATGATAAAAAGCTGTCAAAGATGACGCCGAAAGAGGTCGCCCATTGCACGCTGTCTATTGATCCACTGCTTTAACGATTAGATTGGTTGATCGTTTTTCATTTATAATATTCGCATTTTGCAGACAAATTCCGCTTTCTGTAGTTTTTTCCGCAAAGTGTCCGCTGTCCGCAATTTGTCCGCGGTTCGAGGAGTTTTTGCTTTTGTCCTTTTTCCTGCAATGAAGATTTTTACATTTCCTCGTAAAAAAATTGCCAGCTGATGAATGACCTGTCAAAACGATGCTTTTGCAACTTTTATAAAACAGATCCGCACTGTTTTGAAAACTAAATCAGAAATTTGCCGCGGAAGTGAACAGAAAAACATTAGTTTGTCTCAAGTGCTGCTGAAAGGGAGTGTGAAAAATAGTGGAGTACTGAACCTGCAAGAAAGCCAACTCAGGCAAAAATCTTTACTATTAAGTGCTGTCGTAGGCAAAGAAAGTTTCGAATTAAATTTTATCGTGCCATACATAACTCTTGAAATTTATGACGGCTGATCAAAAACGCGCATTCATAAAAAGCCACTATAGATTCAAATTGAGAGTTAAATGATGCTTTGCACTTCTTTAGTGTTTCTTAAGTGAAACCACTATAGAGCGCTAGAAAATTTTTTTGATACCCTTTGTATTTGGTGATTGGGATATTATGATAATTGAGTACGTGATTTTGATTTTATTCATTTCGGTTTCAAGAATAAATTTTCGTTGTGCTTAGAATCAATAACAAAGTTGCTTTCATAAAGATCTGATCTCACTGGACGGCGGGGTGGCAGTTTTAACTAAGTATAAAGTATTTACGTTAACCAGAAACGCATATATAGGCGTGAATGTTACGCTAGATGAGAGAATTTTCCAATTATGCAGATTTCATTTATGCAATGGAGAGTTTGCAAGAAACATAGCGACTGTATAGTATCATTTGTAATGCTCTGCGAAAGATATATCACCTCTTCTCAGGATCCAAAAAGGAGTTCAATTAATTGAACTATTCGAATGTAGTTTTAAGAAATACATAATATCTGATTTTTTTCAATAGTTGCACCCAAATTTACCATCTATTTTTTTGGAGTAGTACTATAATTTTTCTTGTGAACATACTTTTGCTTGCTTCCATTTGTAGATTGTAAAAGAAATACATTGTGGTATGGGAGAACTACCCATAAAATTATTTGACTGTCCAGAGTTCGCCGAGGGAAAATATTGCCAAGCATTATGGTAACCATTTCCTTAACATCTCTCGCTGTTATTATGAAATATGTATTTTTTTATTCTTAGTGCATTACGTCATCATACTAAAGAAGAAAAAGACGCAAGTAAGTAGCATAAAAATTTCCTGTCCTACTGTTTCTATTCTTGACTCGGTAAATAAACAAGATTGCTTCCTCTGTAAGTCTTCTAAAATTTCGGCTTTCGGTTCCTCACTTATGTCCCAATTATCTCTCCAGATCTTTTTCTTCAGTATAAAAATTGTATAGTTACACTCCCTTCTAAAATTTTTACCATCGTCTCAGTCATTTTTACCTTTTGACCCATTTACATTACTTTTTCTTACGCCATCATCAATTAGGATATGTTGTGTCTTGTTTTCGGATTTCTCTTTGTGCTTTTTATTCAACTATCATCGGCTGAAACAAACTACCAGAATTAATTAAAAAATAATATCGCTACCTTTTTACAGTCAATTTTCAGCCATAGTCTCAGCTCTAACCGCTATTCATTTTAATCTTTTTGTTGTATTTGTATTTGTTTCCTTTTATCTATGCTATATCGTTCAATCTCTTTCTCTAGTTTCATTAAGATTCATCACTTGTTTTTCTCCTGTTTGACTTGACCCATTGTAATAGGTCGACGGCTTTTGATGAATCTCACTTTTCATGAATAAACAAACATCATCATCATCATTATCGTAGTATATTCAACATAAACTTTTACGTCATATTTTTATTCTTTCTTGTATATACTTTTTTTAGTTGCCGCATATCGAGCGTTACAAGCATCTGGGGTTGAAAAAACTTATCGAAAACTGGGGCCAGTATTTATTGTTGCTGGCCCTGAAAAGGCAGGTTAGTTTGATTGTAAATAATTCTGATGAATACGTTTAGTGTTCTTGTTTATCTTGTTAGGTACGTCTTGGCTGTTTAATGCAATTCGATTATTATTAATGAGGGAAAAAAGTCCTTGGGGTGAGTGTACCATTTATATTATTTCTATACACAATATTTTACGTGTTGATTAATTTCTATTTGTTGTATTAGGTCCTCCAGATTCATATAGACTAAATCATATTTATAGAAACGATTTGGAAACACGTTTACAATCTGCCGAAGGTCGTCCATTAGTCGTACGCACAATGAGAATACCGGAGAAAGATTGGAACGAAAATTTAGATCGTATTGGTCATGGATATCATGTTTTTGTGGCACATCGTGATTTGAGAGATATCATTGATGATTGCCTATCTATCGGTTGGATGAAGCATGATTTAGCTGTTATATTAACACGTTTGAAATCGTACGTTGAAGCATTTGAAGATTGGAGAAAAAATGCAAAAGGAGATTTTCGCTTCGAACATATTCAAAATCAACCAGTGGAACAACTGAAACATTTGGCACGATTAATGAATATAGCATGTGAACATGGTGAACAAATCTCAAAAGAAATTAATTCATTGAGACCTGGCCAAGCCATCGGACCTGATCCAGTGACAAAAATGTGGCCATCACATAGAGTTGTCGAAACGAAAGCACATGGTGACGACGGTAAAACAGAATCGAATGTGATCTTGACAAATCATTCAAAATTATCTGACACTGAACGAAAAAAAATTCGTGACACATTCGAAGATTACCATGATCGTTATGCTTACATTTGAGAATGAAATAAGTCATTTAAAGATATCAGGCTTCACTAGTCAAAGTATAGAGACTTTTGATCTCAAACAAGTTGTAATATTAGTATCATCTTCTCACTTAGTTTAACGTATTTTTGAACTGAGAAGGGCCCTTTTTGACGTATTTCGTTACGTCGAGCTTTAGTTATTTGGAAACTAGTCAAAATATAATTGTTGACATGAGATGATTTACACACCAGATAGATATTCTGTACGCTATCTGAACGTTTTTCATGGCTGATAGTCTAAACTAGAAAATAAACGCTGTTGATATTTTTATGCTAGTATTTTGTTGTGTGTTGTTGACATTTTTTTTGTTGTTGTTGCTATTCTTTGTCTTCCTCTGTGTTTTTATTGTTGACATTAACTTGTAAATGAAATGCAATGAAAAGTGTAACTCTCTTGTTATGAATGATGACTATCGTATCATCAATCGGGAACAAAAAGTAGTGCTTGTTTGGATCGAATGTCGAGAAAACTATTTTATCATTGGCGTATTTCACACGTCATTGATTTCGATTTAATTTCTGCAGATCTTGGATTTGGTGAAAATTGTAGTCTGATTATGCAAATTTCTGTCCGAAACTGTAGTCAAATCATGAAAACTAAACTACTTAAATAATTAAGAATACCAATGTAAACTTTGCAGTCGTCGTATAAATCTAAATGATGTCGATTACGTCGGAGGTTCGAACGTGGGGATTATTCCTTTAAATACAAAGATAATTATTCAATTGACAATGAACACAATATCGTTCTTCTAATCATTTTTCTCTTTTACAGGTATTAGATTCTCTCATCCATGACTTATCAGAACAGTTTGATATTTCTTTTATTAATTGGCGTTTTTGTTATGAAACACATGTTTACTTGTCTTCTTATATTATAAAAATCTAAAATTGATTGACAATTAGTCATCTGTTGGAAAGCAGATTTTCATGAATAGAACAAAATTTATTTGCAATTATTTCTACTTTTTTTTTCTAGACACCTATACGAAGTTAAACATCCCAAACTAGGTAATTTCACGCTAAACTGTCAAAACAGAGTTCACATGAGAAGTGCAAAAATTGATAGCCCGGTATAACTTTAAATTAGTGTAGATCTATACCTGGAAGTTATGAGATCGAAAGAAACAACAATAATACTGATAAAATTTTATTTGAAGCGTCAAACTCATCATTTTTGGTTTTATTTTCACACCAACATTATTGTATCTATTTTTATTTGTACTTTAACTTTATTTTTTGGATAAAACGTCATAATAACAACAAATTACGTCTGTTTAAGCACGTCATACCCAAGTTTTCATTACTCACCTAGTAGGGTCAGAGATTCTGAAGCTCGCACCATACTATAACAAAAGGAAATGAAAAAAGATAAAAATCGCTGGAAATGTGTGAAAGAATTTAAAAGAAACATTTCTGATATAAACCCGTATCAGGTGAAATCAGTTATATCCGTTATATAGTTTCTTCATCGTGAAAAAAGTACGCACAGCGATTATTTCAACTTACATCTTTTTTTTTCGCGTAACTCATATATAATCTAGAGTAAACAATCTCTATCATCGAGGCAGAAAAAAAGTGGTATGCAGAAAGAAGAAAACTGAAAGGGGAGAACAATAATTAATTATTTTTTATTAGTATGAAAGTGTGTTACATGGGTGTAATTGGTACAAAATCATCAATGACCACATTGCATTTTAGATTAATTGTTCGTTGATTTAAATTATTACTTGATTCATGACTCTTCAAACGCCATCAATATTACCAACGGTATAATATGAAAACATTCTGTTGTTTTGTTCAATCTCATCTCTGTACGTCTTTTTCATTTTAGGTCAACGAATTTCGACAACTCGTAGCAATACACTATAGAAGTAGATTGATTTTGTATGTTTTTATTTTTTTGAAAAAATACACTACAGATATTTATGATTATGAAGATTATAAGGATAATTAGGAGCTTTGCAAGTTATTTTTTTGTAAATTGTTTTAACGTACCAATTAGGGATGTTCGATTCTCGGTTCCGGAACCGAAATGAGAAGAACTGCGGTTCCGGTTCTCGACTTAGAATCGAAACGAAAGAAACCGTGGTTCCGGTTCCGAACTTAGAACTGAATCACGGCTCTCGGTTCTCAGTTAAAATCGGAAAATATTTTTTCAGGCAGTAGCAATTCAACAAAATAGAATTCATTTTATAGTAAACAAAAGGATTCTTTTAAATGATAACAGGCAAAGATATCTTTTTGTAGCTTTGTCACTAGTGTGTTTCTATCTTGGTAAAAGAAAGGCAAATCAAAAATGTCTCGGTTCGGAAAAGAAGGAACCGTCTAAGAAACCGCAGTTCCGGTTCCTGGTGAAGAACCGGAAATAAGAGAACCGCGATTTTGATTTCTCATGCGGCACCGAAACGCGGTTCCGGTTCTTTATGAGAACCGAACATCTCTGGTACTAATGTCCGGTCCAAACTTTTGAAGTTTAGATTATTTTTGTTAAGATGAATATGAATTTATCGCTGCAGTTTACTTGGTATGAATAATGTGTCATTTTATTTTTATTTTGTTATTTTTTTAGAAGAAATAGCTGCTGGCAACTACGACCATCGTGATATACAACGTTTCAATGAAATCGATGACTATACAAATATGTTTATTCAACATGCACAGTTTTCAGAAAAATTTAATGAACAACGAGCACTTGAAGTCTTTAATTTAGCAATGATATGGAGAAAAAACAATTCTGTTTACGGTAGAGAAGATACATTATGACTGAAAATAAATGAACATCTTATGTTTGTTTTCTTTAGATATTTCTCCCAATATTTTTCCAGAAAATTATTTTGATCGTGGTGCTATATTTTTTAAACATTTTGATCTGAATAACAATCCAATCTGTATTGTATGACAAAAATTGTCCAGTATAGATAAAAATGCATATTTGTTTTTTTCTTTAGTAAATTTTGTTGTCAAAACATTTCACAAAGGTGAAGAAGATAATGAAATGGTTAAACGTTTTATAATATATCATTTGGAACGACATATTCGACGTAGTCCAGAACAAAAAATTGTCTTCTTATTTGATATGAGTGAAACAGGATTAAAACATCTGGTAAAATTAGAAAGTATTATTTGATTATGAAAACTTTTAAATAGAAAATTTAATATTTTTTTTAGGATTTTGATATTGTTCGATTTATTATAGCTTGTGTACAAACGAATTTTCCGAATATTTTAGGTAAGTAAAATACGATAGGCGACACTGTAGTTGAAAGTTATTTGAATATCGAATTGAGTTAAGTAATTCTTTGATGTTGATGGTAGATAACGAGAGTTTTAAGGTGTTTAAAAAGAGTTCAGCGATAACGAGAGGTTTTCGTGTGTATTTGAAGTTTAATTATTTCTTATATAATGCAAACTTTCATTTACTGTATGAGAGAATATTCTGACGCGCTAGTTTTATTTACGTTCTTCACTCATTCTTCTTCTTCTCAATCACTTTCTGATCATCGATGACACAAACAGATCACTATTTGTTCAAGAAAGTCAATCAAATTAAAGTAAAGGTGATTTTTCTGTACAGACTCTATTTTGCTCGCTTCTTCCCACCCATAAATATCGTTTTAAACTAAACCGTATTCTTTTCTATTCTTTTTCTTAATAAAAACGAATATGGGACGACGGACATACTTTGAGCTCGCCAACCCATATTTGATCTTGACCTAAAAGAAGTCAAGTTAGATTTACATGAAGAGCTTAGCAGAATTATGTGAATTCTAAACTCATTTCTGTCGAATGAAACTACACTGGGAAGTTAAATCTATCAGTAAATGAGCGTTCTTCCTCAATTACCTTTTTTTAATAATATTTGGACTGGATATTAGTTAGAATAAACGTTGTTACAATCTCTTTTACAATGTAGTATACTGTAGATAAGATATCGATAGATATATTAAGACAATATTTTTATGAATGATTTCTGCGTCTGTTACTTTAGTTTATAAATTATAATTATTTGGTATGATCATAATATAACACACTTGAATGAATATATTTCGTCGTTTTTTATCATTAAAATAAATGTTTGACGTCATTCAAACGAGTTTATTCTGTTTGTTATTTATTGCTCATTTGACTTTTATTTATATTGACTGCTTTTTTTTCCATTAGTATCTAAGTTTTCCCTTTTATACTTTTTAATGAAAAGCACGAATTCTCTATTTTATTTTCAAATAGACGTCTTTTTCAATCATTTCCTAGTCCTTTTTCTCTTGTTCTTTTCTAATAATAAAAAATTGAATTATGCGTTCCAAGCACTTATCTGTCCATTCAGTAAAAAAAAGCAAGTTATTTCTTTCTGACATATACAAAAATTCAGAGAGATACAGATACAAATTCAATATTGGTAACATTCTCACATCTTCCTTGTATGACCTTTCCTAACATTTTAGAAAAAAAACAACAAAGTGGCGATTCTAGAAAAAAATTGATCATTTTTCTATTTGGTAAAACTATGAAAAGATGTACAGGATAGAATTAAATTTAATATTGCTAATGTATCTAAAATTTTTATTCCGCTCGGAAAGCCACAGCATCGACCGGAAATATGGTGTCATAATCATGATCTTTCGATCGGAAGAGAATTGAGTAACAGTCTTGTAAGAGGCATGTCATGTCTTCTTTTCCTTTAAGATATAAATTATGTGGGTGATCTTTTTACTTCTTGAACTATACAGTATTTTCTAAATAAACTATTGTACGACAAATCATAAAAAAATAGATTTGAAACAATCTTTGTTTAAATCTCGTATTTCACCTAATTAGAAATAACTAATCTATTATTAACTAGTTCCATTTAGACTTATAGAATCTCTAGCCCTTAATTGGCATGATTATCTTTTTTTTCCGTAAAAAGAGGAAGTTAGTGATGAGTAGGAGAATTTTTCTATAGGATCTTTAACGAGAATCGTGTTTTTTCATAGATTTTTGTTCTTCATCCGTGTGTGTGTGTGTGTATGGAGACTTACATAAATCTTTTCTTTCTTTTTTATAGTCTACTTTTTTTTTATCGTTTTTGTAATCTAATAATGAACAAGTAAATTTTGTTGTTTCTTTTAATAGCGGTGTGTATAGAGAAGAAAAGAAAGAAATGAAAACTATCATGTTAGTGTTTTCTGTGTTCATTTTAGTTACAGAAACTATTCGAGAGATAGGCAGAGAACAACAACAAAAGGAATTCTTATTTGTCAGAATAAAAACAAAGACACACATATAGATGAAAGAAATGCATCATTTAACGAATATTTTCGCAGCATTTTTATCTAGTTCATCATTTACATCGCTCTATTTATTCATATAAAAAAAGCAAAGTGTTGTGATCTAACATAAAAATTATCATGAAGGTTAGTAAGGAAGAAACAATATTAAAGGTAACGATTTTATGACGTTATTAGTGGAACAGAGTTATATCTGAACTGAGAAAGATCAAAAATTTTCTAGATCAACAGTACGCAAAAAAAAAAGACTTTTCCATAATTTAAGCTTTCGAGATGAGAATGACTTGGAAATTTTTTCTCAACGATATATAAACAAATTTCTATAGACAAAATTTATTCTTCAACAATTATTTGTCCATGAAAACTATATTTTATTGAGAAATAAACGATACTATCACGTATTGAATTATACCTGTTGTCAAAAGAATAATGTCATTTCTAAAAATACTAGAATTTTGATGTAAAAATGAACTGTATAAATTATTTTATGCTTATTCTTTTTAGCGTACATGTTGATTTATCGTTTACCATTTATTTTGACTGGTAAGTGTAAATAGAGCAAACAAGATGATACGTTGTTTGAATGATTGATTATACTGAAAAGATTATTTTCTATTTTAGCTGCATGGAAGGTAGATTAATAATTACTCTTAAAGATTTTTTTCATCATAACTGGTATATCTTCTTTTTTTCTTCCTCTAGATAATAAAAGGATGGTTATCAGCGGAAGCTGAATACTTTATCAAATTTGTTGATCAGAAAACAATTGGTCAATACATAAGTCCAGATCAATTATTTACGCATATGGGCGGATCTGTGAGTATATATAGTTATTTTATTGAAAAATAGAAGATTAATATCATTTTTTCAAATATTAGAAATAGAGAAAGAAAACTATTACTTAAGTTCGTTTTAATCATTGATATCTGTTTAGAATAAATATGACGACTGTGAAATAAAAGGAAATTGTTGTTCATATTCGATATAAGGACGTTATTTTTACTGGTGAGAAGAATATCGGTTTTGGTTTTGTCTTCTTCTCTCAACTAGTTATTTTTTTCGTGAAGTAAAGGAATCACGTTACATCTAATTATGTCAGAATTGATAAAACGTTTGAAAGTATTGTCTGTCTATATATACCGTTTTATATTGCAAGTATCCATTTAATATATTTTTTATGAAACATCACTCTTACTGTTCGTTTATAAGTTCTGTTTGAGTATGAATAGATTGTTTCCTATGCAATGCAGACATAATTAGAACTAACAATAAGATATGTTAAAACAGTCTTTCTTTCTTTTCTCTCTTTTTTTTTTTTTGCTAATGTTTGTCACGATATAAGTAAAACTCTAAAACTAGTAGAAAGAGGATTTGAAATATAGACTATTATTATTTATAACTAGTACTCTAGACTGTTTAGGGGAAAAAAAAGGAAGAAATAAATGAAAAAAGAATATTTTATATTATTTAATAGAACAGAAATTATAAATTGATTACGATGTCAATAGTACTGTTCATAGATCTTTGGATTAGCGAAAAAAAAATCGTTTTTGTAGTAGACTAAAGTCAACTTGACATGAATAATTTCCAGGGCCCCTAAAAATGTGCACGAGTTATAACATATTAAATACAATTAGTATATGTCAAATAAACGTCTTTTTGATGTTTACGTAACATGTACTATTTTAAGCAATAGTTAAACAATTGAACCTTTCTTTTTTTCGTTCTATATAGACGTTAATGTATTGCCTATACTATCTTTATAATCATCGACAATATTCTTCATAATAAGACAATAATCTTCCTAACGTAGAATTATGTAGAGCTGAACTTTTTTCGTATTATTTAAAAAGTAAAATATATTTCGTTTATACAAACATATGACTATTTGTTTGTTCGATAAGATAAAATGTTACAAAAATGATAAGGTAATTAGATGTCAAGTGGTTAATAAATGATAAAGACTATGTCTACACTTGCTGAATGTTTTCCTAGACGAAGCTTTTAGTTTTAATGAATTTTTTCTTTTTGTTTTTTATCAACTTTGGTCCTCTTAAAATGAATATAATTTGTTGTAGTAAAGTAATTGTTTTTGATACTGTCTTCCAATAATCATGCTGCATATATCTGACATAAGTCCTTTCTAATGGTTAATATGCGTACAGTTAAGCAGTCGAACTAGGATAAAAAACAACTGTATCATAAATTGTTCTAATAAATAGATATCTTAATAAATCTAAATTTAAAGTAACATTCTTCAATTTCATATAGTTCGTGACTTATTATAATTTTCATATTTATATAGGATGATTCAAAATATACACACGTACCTGATCCATTACATGACAGTGTTGACGATATGAACTCAATTTCAAAGAAAAAAGTAGGAAATTTTTATAGCCATCGATTGATTTATAAAATATTTTTTGAAACTTTTATTTAAGGTCACATTTGCTGATACAAATACATCGGAAATTTTATCATCACCAACAGTAAATTCAAGTATTGATTCAAATAGTAGTAATCGATCTCCTCAGGTGGCTAGTTCAAATGTCACCACACTTTCATCGCCAAATGTATCCGGAAGTCCAGAACAGTTAACAACAATAGGCAACGAATCAACATCACTTACACGAAAGGTATATTTAAATAAAATTGTGTTTCTCTTTTTATACTAAAAAACTTTTTCTCATCTACTAGTCAATTCTTCAAAGACCAAATGGTTTACTATTGACAACTAATGGACATGCAGATAATGATGAAAAAGTTTATAAAGGATTAATTATTGTGTAAGATGAATTTAAAATATATCATATGATTTTTACTATGTTAAAAAAATAATTTTAGACCGTCAGATGAAATTATATTTGAAACAACTTCTATTAATAATTCATTTCAACAAGATGCCATACAAACTTTAACATTAAAAAATAGTGGAAATAAAATAATTACATATAAAGTTTGTTTTAATAAAATTAGAAAAAAATTTTGTTTTTTTACATAATGTAGTTTTTGTTGTTGTTTTTAATATAGATCAAAACGACATCACCCGAAAAATTTCGAGTGAAACCTGGATGTTCACTTCTTCTACCGGGACTATCAGCATCAATTACCGTTTATCTTCTAAAAGGTATTTTGTCATTTTCTCATACAAATATTAATTTAGAACATTGACCATTTCATTTTAGCTTATTGTAATTCATCGAGTAATATTCAAAAAGAAAAATTTTTAATTATTTGGACTGTGATTGATAATGAAATAAAGCAAACACAACTAGCTGATTTTTGGAAAAATGTATCACCTTCACTACTACATGAACATAGGTAAATATACAAAAATATCAAAAGTTTAATTTATTTTATCTAATTATTGAATTTTTTTTTCTAGACTCAAATGTTCCATGATGTCAGCACATGCCTCAATGAAACAATCTGTTTCTCAGTTAGATATTTTAACATCAACAAATCAATCACAAGAGAATAGTGATATGCAAAGAACGGTATGTAATGAAACTTCTATGATCTATTCTAAGTAAAATATTATTTATAATTTTAGTTAAACGATGCACTTACTGTTCAAAAAACTTTATTAATTCAAACATCAAAAGACTTAAAACAAATACGTGGTCTACTGATTGTGATATTTGTTTTACTTTTATTTCTCTTAGTCTGGGATGTATATAAATCTACGTTTGCGTCATCATCGTTCATTACGCCCTCAGTGTCAACGTCGATTAATCGTAATGAATTATGAGATAGTTTTTCTCGATCCATGTGCAATAAAAAATGTATATGTCGTTTAAATCAAATGAAACCGAGCAATGCTCGTGTTGTCTTTTTTTCTTTCTTTTGTACTGTACAACCTTTTCTTTTTCTATACTCTTTCCTCTAGGTGCTTCCTATCAAGAAATGAAGAGTCACATTATTCATCGAAACTTATTTTATGCAATTTTATTCTATTTTTTTGCCACTGTTTGTAAACTATTGTTGCATTTTTTGAAACGAGAAATAAAATTTATATATGTTTTAAACCTTTTTTCCACCAACAAATTCATTTGTAGAACTTTTTCCTTCAAAGTCTAAAAAATCTCAATTTTTTAGGTTCGTCAATTTTTCTCTCCATTCCTATATATTCAAAATTTTTTCTTATACCTAGCACGGTAGAAGAAAGTGTGCTCTTCAAAATGAGACGCCTTGCAGAATTTTCCGATGAGTTTTCGTTAAGATATATACATTACCTCAAATGCCCTAAAAAACAGAGCCCTATGTAGAATATGTGTTTTTTTCACTATGCGCTTTTTCGATAGTCCCTTCAATTGGGATATATCACGATCCCTCGAAAAAATGGTTCGATCGAGCTCAAACTTTTATCCCAGATACTTTACACCCCATGTCAGAATGTCAATTTTTCTTAACCGTTTGTCGATTCCACTTTCGGCATGAAAAGATTTTTAAAATAAAAACCCGATTTTTATACAGGACTTTTAGTATTTTTCGAATATTTCGAGAAGAAAAGCATATTTTTCGAAAAGAAAAATTTACATTCTGAGATAGGGTCTAAAGTATTCGTGGTAAAATTTTAAGTTCGATCGGACCATTTTTTCGAGGGATCATCATGTGGCCCGATGAAAACTGTTTTTTTCTAGAAAACTCATAGAAGAGCACGTCAGAAAATTCTGAGCAAAAATATATCGCGCTTCTTTTTCGATGTCCTATCTCCGATATAAAGTTTGCCTTAATCCGACATCGGCTTCCTCGGTTTCCAAGAGGGTCAACAAAGAGGGGGGTATCCTTAAAATACTGGAATGTTTTAACATTGGTGCATTACTTACAAACATGACGTAACTCTATCTCATGACCCAAAAATAATAACAAAGTTTTGTTTTTAGGTTTTTTCGATGTTGTTCATCAAGCCAAAATGTGCGCTTAAGCTCATTCGAAAAGTAAAGTCCTTACTGCACCATAAAAAATAATCGAAAGATCCAGTGTATTCTAAAAAGAAACCAGTTTTACACTTCAAGTACACTAGAAATTCTTCGTAAAATTCTGCATCTTTTGACAATGCTTTGAAATTCTTAGATTGAAGTTTTGAGCGGATGTAGTAGTTTAAAAAGATTCATATAAGAAGTTTTGGATCCATCTTTAATGATACTGTGAGTTTTCTCATCGTTAAAGCAAGATTATTTCCTATTACAATTGATACATTTTTGTAGATGATAGAATTGTGAATCTTTCTGTATAAGAAAAAAGATATTTTTAATAAAATTTTCAAATTTTTGAGCTTCAAACTCTCTCGTTTCAACAAATGCATTGTAAAAAAAATTAATTTTTAATTAGATTCAAACGTTTCAAGGAAATTAAAGCATAACACTAATTGATAGAGCAGAAAATTCTGTCTTCTCATTCAAAAGCGTTTACTAAAAGATTCTATTTTCCAAGAATATTTTTATCTGATACAACTCGTTTTACTTTGATGCAGTAAGATCATTCAGAATATTTTACTCGTCCGTATTCTACAACAAAATGAAAGACCGCTTTCAAAATTGAATCAACTAGTTTAGTAAAAAATTAAAAATCTCAATTGAATGCGCTTAATTCAACACACATTATAACTCGGTGAACAACATTGGAGAACCTAAAAACAAAACTATGACATTCTTTTCGAGCCACCTTTAAGGCTTACGGAAACACATTGAAAATAAACAATATTTGGTGAATAATAAATGTAAGCTCACCCTTTTCAAAGCAAAGTACTTTTATCCTTGTTGTACTTATTATAGCCAGGTTGAATTAGTTATATGAGACAGTGTTGAAATGTGTAGTATGACAATTTTATCGGTCAAATAATAAAAGACCATTCGAAAATTGCTCTATGTTAATCGACTACTCAAGTATGTGAACACAGGCCTATGCGTTGTTCGTCGTTGTGATTGCCCGCTTTAATTAAATCATAATGTTACAATCTCTTCTGTGTGTGTTCTTATATGCAATATGGATAGATCAGTAAATCAATCGTCCAATACTCTTATTTCATCTAGAAAACTTTCATTTGCTAAAAAAGCATCGTCAGATCTTCAGCAAGGCCGAAAAAATGATTCATCATTGAGACAAATAAAAATTTTAGAAAAACCACTGGAAGAAGTTTCATCATCTCAAGGTCAACAAAGTACCACTAGTTCAACTAAGAAGAACGCTGTTGAAGCGTTCGTTAAATCGTGTCCGTATCGTGCAGAAGAAATTGATCGTAATGCTATCATAAAGTAATGATTATCATACGTTTTTCATATACAGAGATTTTTATTTCTATTTTCTTCAAATAGACAACGCGATATGTTAGATTGTCTAAAACGAATATCAACCAGACCCGATTGTTACGGTGTGAGTGTATTTACCATTGATGGTCAAATCTTATTTAATTGTGAAGCATTAAAAAATTGGATACCAGCATTGGGTCCTCTTTGTTTTTTTGCTCGACATTTGATCCGGAATCAAGATGCTACAGACGATATTACGGCACTAAGATTAAGAACAAAACGATACGAATTGCTTATAACGATAAAAAATGATCAATTATTGGTGGTTATGCAAATGTTACAAGGATTTATTGATAATAAAACAGAACATGGTAGTCAAATTGAAGAAGATTGCGAAATATTTCTGAACCGATTACATAAAATGAGAGAAAAAAACTAATTAATAAATATTAACATCTTAACCGATCATGCTTTGAATTGAAAAACATTGAACATCTATTTTTTTTCGTGTTCTACTGAGTTCGTGGTGGTTTTGTAAGATCAATGGGTATTTGCTTTGGGTCATCAAAAATCATCCATTTTTCTTGTGGTATATTTTTAAATGCTTGTGCAAATCGACTATCCGAGCTTAATGAACCACTTATTCGTCGAATAAATATGGCACGAATTCTTTCTGGATATTCACGAGTAATTAAACCGTACACTTCAGGATCCTTCTCACCGGAATCGCCAATTAAAACAAAGTCTCGCATTGTATTTGATAGAAAATATCGTAAGTATTTGAGTTTATGATTAAATGTACTTTGAGAATGAACAAAATTGAAGATAGATTTTGATGTCCAATGAAAATGCCTGCAATGAGCAATGAATGAAGAATTAGCAACTATCACAGTCAGCGTGTATAGTTTGTGAACAAACAAGCAAACCTATAAGTGGTCGTAAACCGTGCTTTTCGTTATCTAAAACGAGAGTAGAAGTTTTTCTCTTGTCTTTGTTTCTTACCGCATATGAAATGAACCAATGGGAAAGTTATTTTTGTCAATAAATTCGTTCGTTAGTGTAAAGAGTTGATCGGGCATTGCACTTAAATAATGAAATGTACAATTGTGTCGCTTCTTCCACTGCTGATATAAGGTGGCCATTCCTAGAACCCGTTTATGAATTTTCAATTGGTATATAAGGTAAAAGATGTAAAAAACTGAATAGGTTTACTAAACGACCTAGTACGGCTGTGACAGGTAGGGTTTTGGCTCCCAAATCCTGAAAAGCTTTTACAATCAATTCAGCATCATTTTTAGAATCAGTTTTCGATGGCAAATCAGAAAAAATAGTTTGGAAACGGAAGAGAACGATAAAGGAAGAAAATTGAGTTACTTGAAAATTATAGGCGTTTTTCGAAAAAGTGGGCCTTTCAGGTTTTAAGGATTTTTCAACATGAAAAAAGTGCTTTAGAAAGCTAAAACCGGGTTTTTCTTACTCAGCTCGATGCGCTCTAATGATATACGAAATGATATACGATATACCAGAAAAAAAGTATCTTTTCAATTTCAGGCATCCTAAATTAATTTTAAAATTACCTGGTACAGGTTTAAATGGTTGAATAAATGTATTTGCTATTAATCTTATTTTATCTAACACCTCACTGATTTTAATTGTATCATCAATATCAGAAATTACGGATAAGCCATGACGTTCGATTAAACGAATAACACCCTCCAGTGTACGGTTATTATCGTCTACTGCTATGTACGAAATGGCTCCATCTTTTTTAAGTTGATTAACTTCATCATTTGGATAAGTTAGAACCGCATGGAATTCGCCTTCACTATCTGTTGTTGTTGTAAGAGAATGATTTCCAATAGTAATTCCAATTAATTTGTTGAATCCATCTCCAACGAGAAATGGTTTTAATCTATCACGTTGAAACGAATTATTTAAGTAAAGTAATTGTTCATTATTTGCCACAAAATGAGCTATAAGTTCTGCTGCTGAGCTTGTTGACATACCCAAAAATTTATTACGCTTTGATCCTTGATATCGCCATCCATGACAGACTAAATTCCAATTGTCTGTATTTGCTTGTGGTTGAAATCCAATATCGGTAAATAATAGCATGTCTTCTTCATCAAATCGTCTGTTATCAATATCAAATTTATCGCTGGTAACATTTCTTACTTTATCTTGAATTTTGCCCCATAAGTAAGGTATTCTTTTTTCACGATTATGATTAACAGCGTCGATCGATATTATTAACATAAACACAAGAATTTCAAATAAATAAAATTTAATCGACAATAGCATTGTTCAATGCCTAATTTTTGAACAGTTTGAGATGACGGAAAGAGTTACAAATGTGATTATCAAAGGAACATCGATCAAATATCACTGAACGGTCACTATAGTGGTCTGTTTCATTGACAAAAGCAAGAGCCAGTTGGTTTGAAACAAAAGGTCAATAACATATATGTGCAGAAAGAGAAAAAATTTAAACAGACGACGGAACATTGTATACGCTTGTATCACTTTTGACGTATGGCAGTTATTTTATGTGATCATATAAAGTGTAGGTGCCACATTATCAGACAAAAATATATCCGTTGTTCATATTTTAGAATTTAAAAACAACAGTCTAAATATATAGCATAAGTTTGTCTAATAATGAAAAAAGAAAAGCATTAAGTTATAAGTTTATTTTTATTGAGTAATTCTGTAGCACATGATGATATCGCTTTTTATAAAAGAGACCGTGAATTGTATCAATAACCGTCAGTTTCAGACGCACTATATTGTGAAAAAGTATTTTTCCATCGTCCAGTAAATAACAAGTGATCCAGATAGAATGAGTCTTTCCGTATTTTATTTCACATGCTGTTGCTTACAGATCATTTTTAAAAAACCAACTCGCCGTTTCAATCTTGATGAAAATCAACAACATGTGAATTGAAACAAGTCAATAACATGTTTTTAATACAACATACAAATAAAACATGTTGAGGAAATACTGCGAAACTTTAGTCTCGATCATTTATAATCCAAAACATAGAAAATGGTCATTTTTTCTACCCCTTGAAAAGCTCCATCTCTGCCCCATGCAAAAATGACCCAGTTTTTTGGGTCATTTATCTAGATTCAAGTGCACGCGCATCTAGATGTACGTGCGCCTGAGTCTAGATAATTGGCCAAAAAAATTGGATCGTTTTTGCATGGGTGGTTCTAGTTAAAACTCTGTATAAACAATACGGAGATTAGTTCTTTTCTTTTGGTGATGTTGCCAAAACTCATAATTTCCAAACTACAGCTTTGAAGCACTTAAGAGTCCTCTCTGGCACAAATCTACTTTTGTCTCAAAACTTATCTCATCATTTCATCTTATCTCAATAAATAAATAGTTTTTTATTAAGTTGTTTGGTACCGACCCGATTAAGTACCATAATCCCCATAATCCCCATGGGGATTATGGTACTTCATGGGTTAAAATTCTTTGATTTTGAGATTTTACTCAATACAATGTACGTAAGGATAAGTTGCTCATGTAAGACGAAAGATGATATGAGGAGGCTGTGGCTTGATTGGGTTCGAGTCCCAGTCGAGTCATATTTTCTTTGGTTCATTTCTTTAACATCCTTTTTGTTTTTTTGTATACTTTCGTATTCTCCTTATTTTAGTTTATTATTCTTTTTTTTAACGGTCCCTTAACTATAATTTCAAGGATTACGATCTTGATGTTTGCTGATGTTCTATTCTTTTCAATAAAAGTTTATATTAATTTTTTTCTGAGTTTTCTAATTTTCGATTGTTATAAAACGTATTGTACCAGAATAGTACATTATAGAAACAGACACCATATAGAACATTATTTCCGTATTATCTAATAGGATAAAAAAGTACACCGTTCGACTCGATTTCCGGCACTGATTCTGAATATGATATTTTCACTGCGTAAAAGTTGAGTTCTCATGAAGAAAGTTGAGAATTATGGTCAGAATTCAGATTTTTCCCAGTAAAGTCCCCTTTTGTCAGCAAGGGAACACAACTTCACAAAACTGCAACGTAAATTTGTAGCCCTTCACTTAGTGATTCGCACGGTGTGTGGCAATTGAGAAAAACCTTCACGGAAACGACTTGATGGTTTTGCGAGATCAAAGTGTCGCTGTGTTATTGCACCAGTCTATTTGAACTTACGGAAAGAAGCAATAACGATGAAATATTCTCAAACCTACATGAACTTACTTCTTTTTTATAGTTCGAATAAATCATTTTCAAAAAACTAGAGTAAATGTAAACGGATGGAATTTTGAATTTTTTCGAAAAATGTCAAAAGTTCATTTTTTCTGTAGCTTTCAGCATTTTAAAGATTTCTCGATCAAAGCTCGATCGAAAAAATTTAAAAAGAACGTATTCCTAATCTACTCGTTGAGCTCTACCAAACCGTTTATGATTCACGCAAATCGAAAATTCGCTCCTCTTTTGCATTTCCGACACCTTATATATAACCTATTCTCAGATCCCGTGTTTCAAGAATTACAGTTGTGTCAAAAAAGAAACTACGATGCTTCGCATTTTTCTCAAAATCGCCTTTTTGACTTAGAGCTGCTGCCATTGACAAGATTTCAACTCCTTTTTAACCTATAAAACTCAAGTTGGTCTCTTACACGGAATGCAAGTGCTTGGACAGTAAAATTACTTGTAGAAAACCACTAGAGACTGGTTTCATTACTTGTACCAAGCACTTTTCCAAGTTCATTCACCAGGGCTTAAATTAAAGAGACAATTTTACATTATCGAGTAGAACAGCTTGATTTTTAGTTTTAATTTCAGTCTTTATGAAAACAAGTATTTTCGTAAAATCAGTTTCATGATTTTTCGAACTTTCGATTTTTAAAAACTTAAAAAACCTGAGCTCTTCTATGTCGAAGGGACGAGCTTTCTCTTTGATCAGAGGCTAATCCAAGCTTTGTAGGTGTTGAAGTAAAGGTGCTATTATTTAGATTCCATTTATTATAGAATAATCATACAGAAAGAAAAAAAGCCACAACACCGACACACATTTGGGAAATACATAAGAAGTATTTGAATTCCATTTTTATTTATCGTAGATGCAATGCAACCCAGTCTTGTTGACTATTACATCCATCCCAAACTGATGCTGTTGAATTAGTAGAAGTATTACTTGTTTGCGACATTGATCGACTACAATTTGGTGAGGCTGGAGGAGTATATACTGAGAAAAGTTGTTCGCGCATTTCCTCTTCATCAGCGTTCGATCTAAATAAAGTACAACATCAAGAAATGGATAAATGTTATTTTGAAGCTGTACACATACTTATCAGAGGTAGACATTTTAATGCTTTTTCCGGGTACAAAAAAAACAGAAAATAACGGATATTTATATCGAATATTAACAATAAATTGAATATTGCAAAAATTGTTAATGTGTGCGTATGAGTAGAAGAATTGGAAGTAGTAACGGTTTGAATTTGCTTATAATCAGTCGTGAAGTACAGCTTTACCGAGGCTTGATGCTGGTTCCTAAAAATTCAGATTCATATGAATCTCATGACAAACAAAGAAAATAAGTAAACAAATAACTTACGTTTTTCCAAGTTCGTTTAACTCGTTTGTTTGATTGTGTGGAGAGAATCATTAATTAGAATCAAAATAAAACTAAAAATAAATTAACAAAAAATAGTTAGATCACAATAAAAACTGAAGTCAAAAAAAAAATTTCTACTTACATGAAGTGTAGGATGTACTTTTATTAGTGTATGAAGTGATGATTATGAAAAAGATTGTTTGAATGACATGTGAAAAAAATCTTGGTTTTATATATAGTAGAATGGAGTGTGTTGGCTAAACAATTGAAGATATCACACGCGTAACATGACTTACTTACTTTGGTCTTACGAAAGATAAAAGTATGATCATTTGTCGAACGTATGACATTTATCAAATTTGATCTCGAGCGAGCGATAATGCGTCATGTTATTACACAGTTTTTAACATAATTTTATTAAGTTCGAGTGGAAAAACAGATGAGTAAGGATAATTAAATTTTCTACAAAACAGCATGTTGATTGGGCATGTCCAAAATTAGCGTACAACGCGTACCACTACGAATATTATTAATTTCGGCATAGAATGCTATCCTCTACAATTTTGCTCAAGACCGACATCTATCCCATATGGTTCTCGCGTGGCAGCCATTTAATCGTATCGGTGCAGAAATCGTAAAAGAAGAGAGAAAATAAGTTTCATACCAAAAGGTTTTCTAGAGATCTGGGCAGCGCTTCGGCCTAGAATAACCATTTCTTAGCATGTGTTTGCACTGTCAGCATGACGCGCATTGACATTGCACTGTAAGCATGACGCGCATTGACATTGCAATGTCAGCATGACACTGTCAGCTCATTTGAATCGATTACGAGAGCTGTAACAATATTTTAATATTATTTATTCTGAATTACCTGACATGTTGGTGATGAAAAGTAGATATCTCAGCGAAATGGCTGCCATACGAGAACCATACGGGACAGAGCGGGCGGTCTTGCGCAGAATTGTACAGGATAACATTCTATGTCGAAAATTAATAATATTCGTAGTGATACGCATTCTACGCTAATTTTAGATATGCCGCCCAGGCTCCAAATCAATATGCTATTTTTTAGAGAATTTAATTCTTTATAAGACAGTCTAACAAAATTTTTAGCAAAACAATAACTAATGGTTCAAAAAGTCGTTTTACCCAAAACAAGAATAGTTTCTAATTTAAAATTTTTATTTTTTCAATCTTTTCTACTATAAATTTTAATTTTAAAAGGTTAAAAAGTATCACATTTTGTTTAGCTTATAGCTTTTAGCTTATGACTTAAAGTTAAGTTTGAACGGAGAAGCGAATAGCGTCGTAGACTTTCTCTTACGAACAAACTACTTCTTGGCTCAATAATTTACTCACTGACTCCAGAGACGAACCTCTTTAAGTTAGAAAGTCTACAGTATCAAGCGGCGTTAACTGTCTCAGGAGCTATGAAAGGTACATCGAAAGAGAAGTTATATGAAATA